ATATGTTATACATGTCAGATAAATATGATATAGTGGATAATGTTGATATGTCTGAGAACTCTGCTATCTCTGCTATCTTTACAATCTATGTTGAGTCACATGATCAGAATTAAGAAATTAAGGAATTAAGGATAATTCCGGGCCGTAACAGCGTGTCAAAATAATTTACTTTTGAATATTTTCTCCAGCAATATATTTAGTGTTTTCTTTTGTTTCTTATTTGAGCCATTGTATTTGGGCATACTTTTATTTCTCATTGTAGAAGTGTAAATTTTTTAATCAGCCTGGCGAAACATATGCAAAAAATATGGAAATCACAAAAAACAAATATCTAGATTTAACTTGGAGAACTAATTAAATCTTCCACTTTCTTGTCTCAATATATGTTTGTATTATTGGGTTATCACAGTATTTGGATCATCCTAACAGATGATTTAAGATTATCTGACTCATAAATTATGTTCGAGATCGATCCCATTTTTAGATCCCAGATCAGTCCTATCGATTAAGTCCTTGGATCGCAATCCAGTCCAGTTCTGATTAGAATTGGCAGTTCTCAGACCGGATCGGACCAGACGGACCAATTAACATCTCTATATTTATTATTTGCATTATTTATTTATTATTTGTATTATTTATTATTTGCATTATTATTATTTTTGAGATTTGAGAAATATCAGAAAGATATTATATTATTTTTATTTTCGTATTGCTAATTTAAGAGATATAATATTTATATTTAGTTTATTTTTATATTTGTATTTGCATTTTTATATAGTTATTATTGACTAATACTTCAGAAAAGCTTTAATAACTATCATATTTATATTTGTATATGTTATTATTACTGATATTTTGGAAAAGTTTTGTTAATTTCTTGTTAAAGTTATATCCAATCCCATTATTTTATTATTTGATATTTAAATTATAAATTTTGATAGTTCAGTAATCTGATCTTTTACGTGAACATAGTCATTTATCATATTTCAGAAATATCATCATAGACAATGACTCTAAAAATGGTAACAATATTCAAAAAGAAAATTTTTCCAGCCTATATTTCATATCTCATAAAAATTCCATTTTAATATTTTATAGATATAATTAGAAAGAATATATTTATAAAGTTTTAATATATTTTTTTAAATTTAGTTTTGAGAAAAAGCAAAAAATTTTTTTTTGTCCCATATCTCATTAATATAGATAGCAAGTATAGATGCAATGATATTGTTAATTATTAATAAATGAAAGTTTTTTATCTTTCATCATGATGCTGAAACCTATTATTAACTACTAACCTCCATCTTCTTCACCTTTCATTATTACACTCTTTTTTATTATAAAACTTTTTTTGATTTTATTTGTTCAAAAAAAAGTTAAAGCATTTTTTTTATATTCTTGATGATTCGGTCTAGTGACACAATCTTTAGTCACACAATACAATACACGTGAAGTAACTAATTCCCAACCCCACTAAAAAGATTCCATTACTTTAATTACACAAGTATCACGTGCACGTGAATTCACTTTGCTCATCCAAAAGACGTTTTTACCAATTAATAGTTTATTTATTAGATAGTTAAAATAAATAACAAACAATGAACGAAGAAAAATTCTCTTCGGCTACACATGAAACTCGATCAATTTAATCTTTGTAGCGTCTTTAGGATTCCGAACTGCTATTTCAGCGCGTATCAAAAGTTCTACATATGGTGACCATACTTTTGCTTCGTCGATTAGAAGCCACGGATCGTGTGGTTTTGAGAATGATAAATTCATTAAATCCTAGGATTTGTAATTTTTTGCATATTTCATTTTTTATATGTACATGTTGAGAAGATGAAAAGGTTATCATTGAGAGAAAAATTATCATCGAATTGGATAAAAAATATTTACTTCTAATATAGCTTTCAAAGATGATGTCAATTCATCTGATTCATCATCTTCATTGTTATTTTTTGATGATTCCTATTATTCAATGATATTATGAATTCAAAAATTCATTCGATAAAAACCAATTATGCATAACAAAACAAAAAAATTGAATTCATACATCAGATAACAGCGACTTTGGCGGAAAATGTTTATCAAGAAATGCAATCAACTCCTTCATTAAAAACTCCAGATTCTGCTTTACAGCGGCAAGTTTTTCTTGCATCTGACTAAAATTATTATTATATTGTTATTACATGATAAACTTTTGCATGCTAATAAAATAAAAGGATTTTCACCATCAACCAACAGTAAAAGAAAATCATCGACAGTACCTAATTTCTGCATTTTGAATTGTAGTCGAATCCTGAGAATCGTGGTTCTTTAATTTTTCAACACGCAAAGTTAAAGCGGCGTTAATTGCATCGCTTTCTTCGAGTGTTTGTTTTTCTCTTAAGTATAAAAAAATGCCATTCAGAATTTGGTAATAAACCAATAATTAAAAAATATTAAATGGAGTATTTACCAACCTCTGAGATTTATCCCTAGTATTTTTTAATTCTTGACGTAACGAAGGGATTGATCTCTTGTATTGTTGTATAATTTGATGGACTTGCTTTCGGACTAAGAGTTCATCGACAATAGGTGGTACATTTTGGGTTCTTTTCATCTCTTCGTTTTTTATTCATAATTATGATTTATTATCACCAAGCGATTCATAAATTATATACTCATAAACAAAAAATAGACAAGGGAAATCCTACCTCGTTTTCCCATTTCAATCTCAAAAAGCAGCCTTTGCTCTTCTTGTTTTAATATTGCTATTTCCTACATTTATTCAGGATCAATAATGAGTGCATTTCAGTGGCCTAAGAAAAATACTCTCCAAATAAGATAATTTATACCTTACTTTGTGCCGTATGCAACGGAGTCTCATTTTGTTTCGGGACGACGACTTTATGTTGCAACTACTTTGTTAAACACATAATTTGAATCGCCATATCTTGATAAGTATATTCAAACTCGTAGTATAAGATGAAAAACTATCTCTTACATTTACTATTTGTTGCCATTCTTCATTACATTGTTGTTTTAACTTCTCCAAAGCCTCGTCAATAGAAATGTTTTTCTTAGGGATAGAGGTTGAGGTTGAAGTTCCTGAGTCTATACTTTCCTCCATGTTAAAGTTAAAAAGGCACGCGCGTTAATAATTTTTTAGCGAGCATTTTTATTATATAAAGTTGGCCGGAATTAAGAAGTAACTACATTCAGGATTAGATAAATGACTGATGGAAAGTCACGTGTAATGTGATAATTTCTAAGAAACGCCCCTTTTTGAGTATGCCGATATTAGCTGCTTCTTCACAAAAAACAACCAACTAAGGCGATCATGTTCTCTGCTCAATTATGAACAGTGAGGAACCTAATTTCACGTCCTTCTCCCCACCACCGCCTGTAAACAATAACTCTTCTGCAACAACAGCAAAGACGTCGCCCACTACGCCCCATCAGAGACCTTCGTCTCACACGGGCTTAAGTACTATTGTAAAAGCTCAAATATCGTTCTTGTTGTCAACGCTCACTGCTGACAATTACGCTCAAAAGGTTGCAGAAATTGATTCAGTAAGTTTCACTTGGAGTTTTTTTTGGTGAATTTTTCCGTTTTAGAGAACTTGATTTGAAATAGAGCGTTGAGTGGCTTTGAAGGCTGTATGCGCTAAACAAACTTCAACTTTAAACAAATACATTTTATTTATGAATTTGTGCTACAATATTACATTAACTTAAAAAATTCGAATGAATCTTTTCTCTGCCTTTCAAAAAAACACAATAGTTGATAGAGCAGCACGGTCACGACATTTATTTCCACTTATTACGTAGACTGCTCATTGCAAACCAATCAAAAATCTTCAACACCGGGAATCGCAGTAACTCGGAAGTTATTATTTACAGTTCCCTCGACTACCGTTTGTTGATTGACAAAGTCAAACAGTCAGCGAGCAATCCAACGCTTTCGGCTGTTTTTTGTGACGCTTTAAATTCCATCGATAATATCGATTCATTCCGTAACTTTGATCTCAATCGTTTCTTGGATCAAGTTGGATTGAATCCCGTCGAAAAAGTATCGCTAAGCATTTCTTTGCTATCAGCGACTAAAAAAGAGATAGAAGAGAAAGGTGGCGTAGAACGAGTATTCATGTCTAGGTTATCGAATTTCTATAACTTAATATTTGATACTAATTCTTTGCTTGTATTATTTATTATTTAGCCGGAGAAATTATAACAAATAATTTTGACCCACTTGTCGAGGCATTACAAGATCCTTCTATTCAGAGAAACACATCACATCAGCTTCTCCACCATTTACTTGTTTTTTTCAAGTCATATCAGGCTGAGAGTCTTTCTATTGCAACCCAACAACTTGACGCTCCAGCTGAAGCAGCTAGATCTAAATTTGCCTCAAAACCTGTACCTCTTGTTTTACTTCCTCTCTTAAATAATAACAAAGCAATAACGGCAAGGTAATTTATTTATTTATATCTATATAAAAATTTTTATATGAGACCAGAATAATTACAAAAATTAATATTTTAATATAGCGATTTTTCTCAAGTGAAAATGGAAGATAATACTACTATTACTACAACCAATTCGAATGTTTCATTGGCAAAAGTCATGTTGGATATGGGTTATAGTTGTTGTGAATCACCAACGGCTGTTCGTAATCTTCTTGGTCAATTTGGTGACTCGGGCAATGCCATTCAAGAAAAAGATGTTGCACAAGTCTTGGGTATGATGGCAGGGACGCCTACCGAGAGCCAAAATGCGGGTAATATGCCTTGGAATCCGAATGCTGAAGCTAGTGAGACCCAGAGAAAAGAGAGCTGGGATGTCGAGACATTTGTTGACACTTTAATTGAATTGGTGAGTATGGTGGTATTGCGCGATATTGCAGTCAGTTCATACTTATATGAAAAGCTGCTTTTTGTATTTTTAGCAACCAAATTTGAATTGGGTAAAAATATATCAAGAACTTGATTATCCGGAATTTTTCATATCAGATATAAAAGGATTGGATATCCTTTTGAAGGCGTTTAAAGCAGCAGTTAAGGTATAATAAATAATAAGTATATTGTAATTCTTGGTGATTTATATTTAAATGAATTGTTAAATAATTTCTCCATTTTTAGGAGCAACAACACTTTCCGCTAAATGTATTTTGGGGTCGTTGGGCAAATATTACTGGACAATTCAGCGTATTACGATGCATTTCGAATGCACCAGTAGAAATATTTAATATCAATGAGATGCGCACGAGGAGAGTTTTGACTATGGAGGACTTTGTTACCTCTGGTGCCAATGTCAAATCTTTGGCCCCTATGTTGACTTCGCAGTCGTGGAATTCTTTGGATTTCATTGAAACTCTAATCAAACTTGCAGATTCTGAATTTTTCGAGAAAGTTCGAGATTTATTTGATAAAGCTTCCAAACAAACCCCAGAGCTCGTGGTTTTAGGCCTGGCGCAAGTTCCGGTGCGTGAAAAGATTTTAACACGCGTGTATCGTATCTTAGTACACACTAATAACTATTTTTCAATTTTATAGAAACCTTGGAGCTCAATACATCAGGAACTTATTAATAAATTGTTGTCAATGTTTTTAATCAGTCATTCAAGTTCGACACTAGTGTTGACACGTCTCTGGCAAGTTAATCCTAATCTGTTTATTGAAGGGTGTCTTGACTTGTACAAGAAAGATGCGATGCATATTTCGAGAATACTTGATATTGCACAAGATTTAAAGGTATACCCTTATACCATGTTTATAGTTAATATTTATTTCTTGTATATATTAATTATAATATATTGTAATATTACGCGGAAATCATTTTTTGTAATAGATATTGCCACAATTGCTGCAAGTCCAACAGTTTGTATTCACAATAGATCTTGCTGCTCTTGCGTCCCGACGAGAATATCTTAATCTCGAAAAATGGCTACAAGATAATATAGCTGAATATGGAGACCCGTTTATCCATGATTGTCTGGATTTTCTTCATAGTAAGATGGGAATGGAAACAACGCGTGATACTAATGGGAATAATTTCTCTTCTGTTCGTCTCTCGATGGAAGTTGCAGCTATTTTCTTGAAGATTTTATTGAATAGGTAATTAAGATAATTTCAAATTTATCTTATACATTAATTAGTTGCTAATAATTATAATAATTATATGAACAATAGTAATAATAGTCAAATGTCTGCCGAAAATGCCGAGTTATTGAAAGAAGTTCATAGTACTACTTTGCAAGTATATCCTCATCTGATGAGTATGGGTTCTGCCGAAACGAGTCTTACTGCGCCAGAACCAAGTTTCTCTCCTGATGTGGAAGAAGAAGCAAACTCATACTATGAAAGAGTTTATCGACAAGAAATAAACATTGACGAGATGATCAAGCTTCTTTCAAAGTTCAAGAATTCACAGAACCCAAGAGAAAATAAAATTTTCGAGTGTATGGTGCACAATCTTTTCGATGAATACCAGTTTTTCCCCAAATATCCACAACGTGAACTCACAATCACAAGCATAATCTTTGGGTCGCTGATTCAATCTCAACTCGTCGGCTACATGGCTCTTGTTGCTTTGCGTTATGTCTTGAGTGCATTACGAAATCCTGTAGATTCAAAGATGTTTAATTTTGGTGTTCAAGCATTATCTCAATTCCAGTCACGTCTTCCAGAATGGCCTCAGTATTGCTCACATCTTTTGCAAATTCCACATCTTCAGCAGTCGCATCCCGAAATTATTCAGTTTGTTCGAGCTGCTGCTCTTCAAGCGAATAGCAATAATGCCAGCACAAGTAATGGTGAACCTCGACCTTCTCTAAACGCTAGTCTCTCCTCCATTGATGTTGTCGCAACTAATCTCACAAACATTAATATTAGTAGTAATGTCAGCAATAGCATAGACAATAATAATAATAACAATAACAATAACAATAACAATAACAATAACAATAACAATAATAATAATAACAATAACAATAACAACAATAATAATAATAATAATAGTAATAATAGTAGTAGCAACGACAATAGCAGTAACAGAACTTCACCACTCGAATCCACAATCCTTCCCTTGGAATCCAAACCCGCTTTTACTGCTTTAAACCTGGATACTTTACTGGCGGCGGATAAAGTCGACTACGAGGTCCCAGGTGAAGCAGTCCAAGACAAGATATTATTTATAGTGAATAACGTTGCTCAAAGTAATTTGGATACGAAAGTCGCCGAAATGAAGGATATACTCAAGGAATCGCATTTTCGATGGTTTGCCAATTACCTTGTTGTTAAAAGAGCAAGCATTGAGCCAAATTATCATCAACTCTATTTACGATTTCTGGACGCATTAGATAGTCAACTGTTAGTTCGTCATGTGTTGCATGAAGCATTTGCCAATATTAAGGTGCTGTTGAATTCAGAAAAGACAGTACACTCTGCTTCTGAAAGATCTCTATTGAAGAATCTTGGTTCATGGCTCGGCGGTATGACTTTAGCGAGAAACAAGCCAATCAAGCATAAGAATATTGCTTTTAAGGTTTGTTGATTTGCACAAAATATTTTCATGTATATTCATTACTTACATTCATAAATTGCACACTTATAGGAACTTTTAATAGAAGGCTACGATAGTAATAAACTTATTGTAGCAATTCCTTTTGTGTGTAAAGTACTCGAGCAGGCCAGCAAGAGTAAAGTATTTAAACCACCGAATCCCTGGTTAATGGCAATTCTTAAATTATTGGTTGAATTATATCATTTTGCGGATTTGAAACTAAATCTCAAATTTGAGATTGAGGTGTTATGCAAGAGTTTAAGTATAGAGCTTAAGGACATTGAACCCACATCTATTCTCAAAGATCGACCACCAAAGGAACCCATTGCACCGCCCCTCTTTGAAAATTGGCCAATTGGTGGTAGCAGCCAACCACCAACCCCTGGACAGGCTCCACCACCTCCAAATCTGTCAGGAACGCAACCTGGTACTTCAGTGCCGTTGCCTGGTGAGTTATCGCTTCACTTTTAGTAATCGAAACACATTAGTTGGCTTGTCTTGAATTAACAGAGTTTGTTTATTAGATGAAAATTTATTGAATATCCTTTCAAATGTGGTTCCTTACATAAACTACATTCCGATTTTTGCCAATCAACCAGGACTTCGAAAACTTGTTTATATGGCTATCGAAAGAGCTATTCAAGAGGTTTGCATTAAATATTTATTCTTTGCTTCATAAGCAACTTATATATAGATAAACTAATCTTGTCTATCCTCCATAATCAAGATCATTGGTCCTGTTGTTGAAAGATCAGTCACCATTGCCTGTATATCCACTAAGGAATTAATACTTAAAGATTTTGCTATGGAACCTAACGAAGAGAAAATGCGAAATGCTGCACACGTAATGGTCCAAAACCTAGCTGGTAGTCTGGCACTTGTTACATGTAAAGAGCCACTCCGTATGAGTATGGTAACACATTTGCGTAATCTCTTGCTTCAAAATGGGTTTACAGAGGTAAGATATCAGATTTCTTGTTTTAAATTATATGCTTTCGCTAAACATAATATTTTATTTTTTTTCGGGAATTTGTAGCAGAGTATTTCGGAACAAGCAATTCTACTTGAGGTTGCTGAAAATCTAGATTTGGCTTGTTCTATTGTGGAAAAATCTGCGATGGATAAAGCGATACCTGAAATTGAAGACAACTTGTCACGGTCATTCTCTGATCGTAAGAAACATCGTGAGGTAAATCTATTTTATCATTATTTAATTATATTAATGAATTTATTTCATTCATGTATTATAACTGCTCTATGCCGAAATCTAACATGTTTAGCGATCGGGACAACCATATTACGACATGACGGTATATTCCACAATATCGCGTTACATGAATAATCTCCCAGAACCACTACGATTGAAACCTACCGGCCTTCTACCTCAGCAACTAAGAGTGTACGAGGATTTCTCTAGAATCCGTATAAATCAGCCAGCGCCCACTTATGGTATCTGATTTAAATATTTGCAAGAATTATTTGTATTTTCTCATTTCTAATACTTTACTTCTCTTCTACTTCATTAGAAGATCGTGGTAGTGTTCGTAGTAATGGAATTCATCGGGGTCAAGACATACCATTGCAATATGCTCCCAATGAAATTCCATTTGATAATTCTCAAATAATAACAGCTCAGCAGAATATTGAGCGATTCACGGTAAGTACGAACATATGATATATACTATTATACTATTAAGCAAATCCTAATAATTTTTTCCGCCATTAGCAATACTTGGCTGAGCTTGATAAATTAATCAGTAAAAATCCTCAAGCATCCTGGACTTCGCTTCCCCAGAACCACGATATTCGATTACTTGTGAACCAAATTCCCTTAATTGCTGCTCAATCACCCGTACACCGCGATGAAACTGCACTCAATTTCTCTCAAAAAGTAGTTCAACTCTTATACAAGAATGATTCCAATCTTTCACGCGAGGTATACGTTATTCTCCTGGAAAAGCTTTGTGACATTTCAATAAAAGTGAGCAAAGAAGTGACTGCATGGTTGCTCTATGCTGATGATGATCGTAAATTCATCGTGCCAGTAGTTGTCGCTTTGATAAAAGCAGGGCTTATCAACGTCGCTGAACAAGATGTGCAATTGGCAAAACTTATTGAAAGTGGTCGACCGACAGTCATTGATTTCACGACAAAATTAGTCCGAGAATGTGTCTTGAAAGAACCTGCTATTGCTTCAAGGGGTGATTTTCTCAATTCTTTGGATGCGCTTGACAGACTCACTCGACGAGGAAAGGCACCAGAGAATGTAATTTTACTTCTTGAAGAATTACGCCGGATGCGTGACGGAATGCGTGAACAATTATCTATTGTATTTGCTGAATGGGTTAGAATTTATCAACACCCCACTTCAAATGAAAAAACTTTTACTAATTTCATTGTGCAGGTAAATATTATATATATAAAATATATTTAATTACTAGGTTAAATCAACTATTATTAACAATTTCTCTTTACTACCACTTAAAATAAATAGTTACAAAATCAAGGCATATTAAAAGGGGATGAAATATCATCAATGTTTTTCAGACTCTGCACAGAAATGAGTGTTGACAATTATTTAAAGCAAAAAGCGGCTGTGCAGACAGCTCCTGCTGTCGCTTTTCAAGCTGTTGATGCTTTCTCAAAGTTAATTGTGTTGTTGGTGAAATATCATTCGGATCCAGAAGGCATAAACAATAATGTAGCAAAAGTTAATTACCTTGCCAAAATTATATCACTTATTGTGCTTGTAATCGCACAAGCACATGAGCAACGCCGACAGCAGTTTAACCAAAAACCATTCTTCCGACTATTTACGAGTTTGCTTACTGATTTGAATTCATACGAGCAACAACTTCAACCTATTTATTTCCAAATCCTTACAAATTTGAGGTAAATTTTTTGTTATTATTCTCTTCATCTATTTTCATTTTATCTTATTTATATCATAATAAATTCTCTATCAAATAGTAATACCTTTCATACTCTGCAACCTTCCTTCTTCCCTGGATTTACATTTGCTTGGCTTTCATTAATCTCTCATCGCCTTTTCATGCCAAAATTACTATTGGCTGAAAACCGAAAGGTAATGTAACCTTATAATATTACAAGGTTAATTTTAACTTGTATTTAATATATATTAATTGTTTTTATTTTTAGGGCTGGCCGACGTTTCATCGGTTGCTGATTTGCCTCTTCAAATTCCTGGTTCCGTTCCTCCGAAATGTCGAAATGAGGGATACGACACGCTTACTGTATAAAGGGACATTGCGTGTTCTCCTGGTTCTTCTACACGACTTTCCCGAGTTTCTTTGCGATTATCATTTTAGCTTTTGCGATGTAATTCCATCATCATGCATACAATTAAGAAATCTGATATTGAGCGCCTTTCCGCGAAATATGCGACTACCCGATCCATTCACACCTAACCTAAAAGTTGACTTATTACCTGAAATCACTCAATCGCCGCGCGTGCTCTCTGATTACACGTCAGCTTTACTAACAAACAATCTGAAACAGGATGTTGATACATATCTTCAAACCTGTCAACCTGTCTCGTTTCTGATGGACTTGAGAAACCGACTCTTGTTGGATTCGACCGACCAATCAGAGGGCTCAAAATATAATGTACCAATTATTAATGCACTTGTATTGTATGTTGGCATTCAAGCTATCAACCAACTGCAGGACAATAAACAATCAACAGCATCATTGACTCATTCCGCATCCATGGAAATATTTCGACAGTTACTCAACAATTTGGACTCGGAGGGTAAATCTCGAATTCATTATTGCTATTTTCTTTTTATAATTTTTATTGAATTGTTGATCATTTGTTTAGGCCGGTACCTCTTTTTAAGCGCCATTGCCAATCAATTACGATTCCCTAATAGCCATACACATTACTTCAGTTGCATCCTGTTGTACTTGTTTGCAGAAAGCAATCAAGAATTTATTAAAGAACAAGTGACAAGGTAAGTTATTAATTGTTGATGTATTTATTTATCACGTTAATCGAATCGATTATTAATTATAAGTATGTTGCTTGATGCAGAGTGCTTCTGGAAAGGCTAATAGTGAATCGACCTCACCCTTGGGGACTCTTGATTACATTTATTGAGTTAATTAAGAATCCCCGCTACGATTTCTGGAGTCATTCCTTTACACGATGTGCAACCGATATTGAACGTCTGTTTGAAAGTGTGAGCCGGTATGTAATTTGTTTTGATATATTATAAATAATAATCGTTTTCACCAGAGTTAACCTTTATTTTACATTTACTATATCTCAATAGATCAATCAACCAAGTGTAGATCTCTTAATTATTTATTTAAACTGAAAAAGGATGTGGATTCTGTGAATTACCAACAATGTTTAAATTCATTTTAAAATTATGTGCGCACGCACATTTTACATGCGTATTTTTTTTTATAAATTCCTTAATTAATAATAATCAATCATCAATTCAGCATTTGTACAGCAATTTCTTTTTTGACTAGAATTATTACAGTAGCAATCATGCTATGGGTATTTTTAATAATATATACATATACATATACAAATATAAATATAATTCAATAAACGAACATTGTATAGAGCTAGTTTAACGTGTGAGTAAAAGTCTTCCTGTTTTTAGTTTACATAAAAAATAATAATTTGTTATTGATTTATTTTATTGAAAAAACGCGATGATTTTTACATTGATTACATATCATTTTTCTCGTTCGAGTTGATTTGCATCATAACAATAAAGTCAATGTGTATGTATTTAACTACTACGCCGAATATTCAGACGTTAATTTTCTGCACGGAAAATATCATAAGTAAGCTTGCCAAATAATACTATTATTATTTTATTCATCACACGCCATATCTTTATTCACCAATACCCAGAAACAGAAACAGACAGTATCTTATTTTTTTATTTCTTGAGGACAATCCATGTCTTTTTTCGCCAAAATGCGAATATTATCCAGAAACACTTCAACGACCTCCATAAATCGATTGGGCAGGCCTTTTTCGATTTTCTGTCGTTCTCTGAGCAGTATCGTTGGATCGACGAATTCCACTTCCAATTCATGAGTGACCTCTTGACTGGGTGCTCTAACTCCATTTTGAGAAGGTCTCTAAGAGAATATGCCAAAAAAAATGTGAAAACGAAAAATAAAATTGCGCAAGGATGAACTAGAAATCTTCTCTTTACCTCTGGAATCTTAACCTGTGTCAAATCAAACTTGAATATTTGATGTAGATAAGTCATTCGATCTTTATTCCGTTCAAAATCCGGTTGACTTTTAGGCATAGGTCCTTTCACGCAAAATAACAACCCAACCCAACTCAAATTCAGCCCTCATAATAGGAAATAATAATAGCAACAGCAAATAATGAAACCACGGGAATAAATAAAAAGCTTACTTGGCTTTTCTATATTGACAGTTATTCGATAGTCAAGATGAGTATTCGGTGAATAAATATTCAGATTTGCAATTCGTATCTTCTCCACTACTCCGCCTTCTAATATCTAAGAAAGAATAAACCGAAAATAAGAAGCTGTTCATGATAACGATCAGCTATATTATTATTGTTGTTGTTACTCTCACTATACCTGTCCACTGCTCTGATCTGTGGTTACTCTTATTTTATTTCCAGACTCGGTACGATAAAACCTGTCTGTTTCTTTAGTGTGTTTATATTTTACCGGAGCTCCCTTTTTAAGGTGATTGATTATATTATTGTTAAGGATGAGTTACTATACAAAAAAAGTTAAGACGAGACTCTTTGGATTCAAAACTTACCTGATATGAAGGATTCATAGTGTGATTTACCCTTGCATTCAAAATATTATTAAAATGACAGTGTTGTTGCTAAATTTCCAACGGGAAATAAAAATTGGTTTGCTGATTCACAATAAGCAAGCTCAGTTGATAGTAGTTAAAATCTTACAGGTGTCATGTTGCTCTCAAATTGACACCGATGCTCTTCGCTACGATGGATTACTATAAGATCAAAAAAATAAATGAAATCAAGCAAAAGAGTAAGTAATCCAGAGTATCGCGAAAAAACATACTAGTTTCACAGGTAACTGGCATATCTATTCTTGTTTTGGTGTCTTTACTCAAGAGCACACCTAACTTTGCTTCAATCTGGAGAGTTTAATGTAAAGCGGCGAAAATTCAGGTATGAATTCTCACGACAAGCAAAGAGCTATTCTAAATGAGTTGAGGCAACTATACTTCTATGTTATCTTTATTAACGTGTTCGTATAGAAAGTCGCTCACGAATCTCACGAAATCATTGGAAGGTTTAAAGGCGAAAATGGAAGGCTCAAACTGCAAAGGCAAATCAGAGTCTTGATCTGTTATGAGGCTAGTTGTAGCTTGCAAACTTTTATTGTTTTCGCCATTTTCATCAGTGCTTTCCGTGCGAGGACGTTTTCTGGACATTCTTCCCGTCTTCAATCGAGAAGAGCACACCCAAATTTTGAAAACTAAAATCACGTGCTAAATGTTCATATGGAATCGATAGAATTCATTTGCTATCATTAGATATTTTATTATTTTCTTGCATCAACACAAAAATGAAGACACGCATATTTTCATTGGAGTCCACACGACTATATGCTCCTTGTACTTTACTATTTCTACTACTTTTGACATTCCTGCTATGGCCTTTATTCACACAAGTGATAAGTTTGGTAGAGGCTAGTGAGCCAGCCTTGGAAATTGACGAAGGTTTACTTTAATTTTCGTTCTTCGTATACTTTATTTTAGCTGCTCTAATAAAAATGCTTGTTTCTGCCTATGGAGTACAGAATTTCTGAGCGTAACCTGCGGGTCAGCAATAAAATTGACACATGAAGCCTCTGCATATAAACTTCATTCACACAGCGTCTCTTATGGTAATTTTTTATTATCGGGAAAAAGAATTATATACTAGGAAATCAAGCAATTCCACTAAGACTCGAGTTATTTTTCAATAAGGCACTGGTTCTGGCCAGCAAAGTGTCACTGGACTACCTGATGCTGATGATCATAATTCTTTATGGCAAGTCCACTCGGCTCTCGGGAATCAATGTTTAAGAGGGTAAAATAATAAGTAACATTGTTGCTATAATTCGGCGAAGAGATTAACCTATTCCTTAATTAGACAAACGATCCCATGCAATTCAGTCATTCGTCTCAAACATGTCGTTACGAGTCGATTCCTTCATAGCCATCAGCATCAGTCACCTCTTTCACAACAACAAGAAGTTAGCGCATATGAGGGTCAAGATAATGGTTTGTATTATAATATATGATATGAATCTGCTTTATATATTCACAATGCCATTGGAACTAAATATTGTTATTGATCTAATTAAAAAAAAAAGGCGACAACTGGAAATTAATATGTTCAAACAAATCCGTGCCAAATTGGCAGCGCGAAGAAAAAATCCAATTAATCCACATAGAAACAAATACATATCTTACCGCAAATAAAGAACATGCTTACAGTAATCCGATACCGGGTCAAATTGAGGTTTCGGCTGCAAAGTCCGGTGGAAAATTAACTTTTTGGATTGCCCAAGAAGGAATTTATTTCCCAATAAGAGTTGATTCTTAACTTTAGTTGTGTTAATCCAGTCAATATTGACAAACATTTAATATTTAATTGTTTTCGTTATTCTTTGATTTATTATTAATTTTGAATGTATATCACAGGCTTGGGTAGAACAATAATCACAAATGATAATAAAGGAAAATCACTTTTTCTAAAATTTACCATATCATTACTTAACTTGATGCACTATTATCTCTAGCTCTAACGCTGACCCTAAAACCAACCCTTAGCATTCCTATTACAAGCTGAAAGTATTATTTCAAATCAAAAGTACTTTTACTTAGAACTACATCAGTTCGAGGATCGACATCGTTTTTACTATTAAGTACAGATTTAATTTAATTTTGGCAGAAAATCACAAAGTTGATTGTGGCGATATTATCATGTGATACGCCACAACTAAAAAAATTCTTAGTTCACACACGCGAAAAATTATTTGCAACAACGATGATTCTTCGTCCTGTTTTTTTGTCAAACTCTTTACTTCATACGGGAGGAGGGCTTACACGTTTACTTAGTATAACAAAGACTACAAACCAAGAAAATAATAACAACAACAACAACAATAATAATAATAATAATATTTTGGTTGGAACAGAAAAAAATGAACCTATAAAGCAAAATCTGAACATTTCTAATGAAGCAGCGGAAGTCGGCGCAACAGTGACAACGACGGCAGAGTTGAAACCTCAAGAGCAACAACCAAAGGTCTTCGTCAAAGACTGGAAACAAGTCATGTTAGAAGCATCAAACAGAACAGACTTGCAACTGGAAGAACCAAAAGCCCCCGTCAAAGACTGGAAACAAGTCATGTTAGAAGCATCAAACAGAACAGACTTGCAACTGGAAGAACCAAAAGCCCCCGTCAAAGACTGGAAACAAGTCATGTTAGAAGCATCAATCAGAACAGACCTGCAACCTCCGGAAACACCAGAAGTATTTACAATGATAATGGAAGAACCAAAAGCCCCCGTCAAAGACTGGAAACAACCCATGCCAGAAGCAACAAGCAAAACAGACATGAAACTTCCGGAAACACCAAAAGTATCACCAATAAAAACAGAAAAACCAATGGCTCAGAGTAATTTTAGACAACAACCGAAGTTTAATAATAACGAAACAATTGAAAAACCTCGACTTCAACTTTCACAACTAGCGAAAAAATGGGAACGACCGACAGTCAGAATGCAAGACAAAATTTTTGAGCAAGAAAAAACGAATAACGAAACAATTGAAAAACCTCGACCTCAACCCTCACAGCTAGCGAGAGTGTGGGAACGGCCAACGAACAGACTACAAGATGAGACTCTCGGTGCTGGGATAGGTTTTTCTTTTATTGTTTAGTTATATTCTTTGACAGAATGTAACAAATAAATAAATAATTTTATTTCCTTTTTTTTATCAATCAGCGTTAAATGAAAGTAAAACAACCTTTGTATTGATAAGTAGACTTCCATTGACTGCAATACCGAGTGATATTCGAAACTTGGCAAAGAAGGAATTGGAACCATCGATTAAAGAGAGTGAATTATCTCGAATCTTTTTGGTTCTCCAAATTATTTTTAATTGTGACAATCGCATAAATTATTGATTATTCCCGTTACGTGTACATAAAAATAGTATGTGTATGGAGAAATGAGTTTTATCGATGTACCGGGAAAATTGCCGTAGCTTTTGATTCGCAAAATGCAGCCGAAAGGTTCATCGGAACTAATCTCAATAATACTGTGGCTGGACAGAGAATTTCGTGTGATTTTATCGTGAGTTTTATTTTCACTATTATTGTTATTATGATCAAGATTACTAATGTTAGTGGTATTGTTAGGATGAAGATATATACACAAGGAACCGTATTAGAGAATTAGTTAAACGACCTGGGACTCATGTTACACTTTCAGGATTACCAGGAACAATATCTAATAAACGAATGGACCATGCTTTAACTGGATACGCGATAATAGATCGAGAGTATACGGGAATAAAACTGTTGCGAAGGTTTGTTATCGTTGTTGTATACTTGTTAGCTCGTTCGACACGTACTTTTTCGATTACTGCTACCAACGTTTTTATTATTATCATTAGTATGGGACGAGAGATCACTTCAAAATGGCTTATAAAATTAGAGTCAACAAGGGAGGCACATCGTTTAATTCGAGATGTAAATAATCAATATTTTATGCCTGGTGAATTACGCAACGAATTTTTAGTTCAAGCTGCTATTGTCTATTAAATCTCTGGAGAAATACAATTCTCTATGAAATTAATGCAATTATTGATAATATACAAAAATGACGTAACGCCTATCGCTAATAAAATCTTTTTCGCGGCTACACAATTCCAAACGTACTATGCGCGCGTTATTTATTTTGCAAAAAATTAGAAATGTTATCTTTTAATAATGTAGCAAAAGTCGAAGAAGGTAACGAAGATTTAGCGGGTGCATCTGAAACACCCGGAGTGAGTATCTTGGGTAGGAGCAGCGATGGTGATACTAGCACTGTGGTGCTTCGCCCTTCTGCAATTGCTTCGTCTCCTCCTAATAATGATAGCAGCAACCAGCAAAATGAAACTAGTGGATTTGTTTTAGAACAAAACATACAACATTCAGAAGGCTGTGCCTCAAACCCGCTGATTGAAACTACACCGGCTAATTTGGTACCAGCTTCAAGAGGCAGACATTTTAGTGTTGGATATGTCAGAATGGTGCGCCGCAATCGTCGGCGCCTTCGAATACGGCTCTTTGGGGAATGGGTGAAATTGCAAATCGACGGATTCGTTACCAAAATCTATCAAAAAATTAACCAACGAATTCAGAATCAACTAATTCTTGCTCAAGGAAATCACAATGCTGCTCAGTCAATCCACCAACGTGTTGCTGCTTCGACACAAACCGCTTGCGCTTGTTCCGTTGAGACACAGACCGATTTATCTTATCTAACCGAGAAAAGAAAAGAAAAGGAAAAATCAACCGTGATAAATAAAGATGGACATTCAAAATACTCGGAAGCAATCGTTAATGGATCACCTAGAAAAATAGCAAATCCATTCACATCAAAAATGCGAGATGATAAGAAGAAAGAACTGGAAAAGAAACAATTAAAAAAGGATCAAAAACCCAAGTTTGAAAATTCGTCTCATACGCCTAGAAGAAACATAAAATCAAATTATACAAATTCGCATAGATTTTCTTTTAAGCGATCACAATCAAAGAAATATTCTCCAAAGCCTAAACCTTCGCCACAAGACACAACCAAAAGAAAGCCACGGTATGTTCCATTTAGAGAACCAATATATGATGCACCAGCCACGCCAACACCACCAATACAAAGACCGATCATACCTTCTAATGTAATGATTCCATCCGGAAAACCACTGGATTCATTTTTACCTCTGGTCAGGGATCCAATAACACCTCCATTGCTCTCGCCTCAAATTCCTGAAACCACCAATAATAAAAATAGTGATGAAAGTATTGCTAGCATACAACCTTCTGTCAGCAATGATGTCGAAAAGAAAGCTGTCACCGAAAAGAAAGCCATCGTCGAAGAGAAAGTCATCGCCGAAAAGAAAAACATTGATGCAGTCAAAAACAATTCTCTTAAAATCTCGTCAGTAGAAAAGAGACAGAAGACAAAAGATCGAGATGAATTAACTCCTCGAAAGAGAACCAAAAACAAACCCCGATCTAAAGCGAAGAGCACTAAAGCAAAAGATAAATCAATAATTACTAGGAAATATGAAAAGATGGCGAAAACAAATTATAATTTACCCGAGAAATCATCCTCATCAGATTTTGAGGTTGATGAAACAATTGCACACCCTATTCAAACAAAACCACCAAACTCGGAAATTACACGCAGAAATGCAAGCCCTGGTTATTATTCAGCGATTTTCTCGTCTGATGAAGAACCACCTCCGTCATCAAATTTCAGAAAAATGATCCAAGGAAACAAACTAGCTGGATGTTATAATACAAGTCTCTCTTCGGATGAAAAGATTAATGACGCTGAAATTATAATTACAGAAAGTAAATCAACTTGGCAAACATCAACAGACAAAAAAAACGAAAATATTGTTTCAAATGATGCTCAACCTTCCGCATCATTTTCGCCCGAAAAAACAGCATCAATTTCACCGGTAGAATCTGTAAGATCATTGACGCCTAATAAAACAGCACCACTTTCTCCAGTAAAATCATTTACGCCTAATAAGACAACATCAATTTCACCAGTAAAATCATTAACACCTAACGAAGATCAAAAAGCAAAAGAAGCTTATGAATCTACTGTACAGATGACAACATTTACTATTCCGGCAACCACCACTGTTGGCACTAGTGTTAATATTGTCACTGATGAGAAAAAGCTTACAGAAATATCTCCATCAACACCATCTTCACTTGTTAAATCACCGGAAAAAGTGCAAATGGACATCTCTCCTGAAAAACCAAAAGAACAATTGAGTACAGCAAATGATTACTCTTCTAACATTCAACCGAATTCTTTGGACACAATTGCCGGTATCATGCCAAAAAGCACATCTAGTCATAATATAAATTTCGCAAGTACAGAAAGGTTTTCTTTTGAAAATTTATTCCAGTCTCAGAATCAACAACCTCAAACTTTCATTTCTGGCAATTCATTGCAACCTACGACTAGTGGCCTTTCGCAGGCTCCACAACAGATCACAGAAAATTTCACATCCAGCGGGCTGAATCAACCTCCACAGATGTCTTTAAACTTTAACTTTAACTTTAACGCTCTCCAATCTCAACAACCGTCGTCATCGCAAACGTCGTTTAATTCTACTACCGAGAATTTTACGTTTACAAATCCACAATTTCCAAATGCACAATTTCCAAGTGCAATCACCGGAAATTTAAACATTCAAAATATCCACGAAAGAAAAATAGCAGCTCCTCGTAAGAGAAGAAAGTAATCGAGAAATCAAGTTTTTGTTGGTGATAATTGTTTATATCATATATAATATAATCTATAATCTATATAATCTAATATAATGACATCAATTTTGAATAGAACGTATATATATATTAAATACTTGTTGGTAAACGTTCGTTTCATGCCAAGTTATTAATATAAATACTTAAGCTTGATTCTCTTCATTGGTTCCAGCATCATTATCTTCTTTCTCTCCTTCCACTATTAACCATAACAACCAAATCCCAATCATCACCACTATAAATAAACCCCAATTCGCTATTCTCATGGTAAACTTTTCCTTAGAATTTTCCATTACATCCATCACCGCCACCAACATGATTCCCCACACTTGTACCACCGAATTGAGAATGCCGGTGGTGGTGATTTCGTCTTTTACCTGGTTATTGGCGAGTTTGATGGTGGTTACAAATTGAAAAACCGCGGGTGTAATTGCTGAATATTTTATTGTTTTAATTTTTCATTAATTTCTAATCATATAATCAATTTTGCAGGCTTACCAAACGTAAACATTCCAAAACAGATACTAATAAATTAACAATATGCATGTTAACACAAATATTGACAAGATTCATATTAGTAATTTTTATTGCTGCTACATACCTTCCCAGAAATACCAATTTCAAAGATTGGAGGCACAAACCAATATTAAATAACGCTAACGATATCGTGGCACCAATATACAAAACACGACATGTATTTCTATACGCGAAAGAATAGTCGAGATAGAATCCTATTAGTAATGACCCGATTACGCCGGCTATCACTATTGAGAAACCAAGTAAACCAACTTGAGACTGTTATTTTTTTGTCATGATTTTATTTATGAGAAAAAACAATCAATCGTTCAATAAATTAACAATTTTTTCGAGTCAACTTTTTCAAATTATTTGAACACACGAGAGTTTAATATAAAGAAAGATGCCTGCCTACCTCGTCATACATACTAAATACCGGGACAACCATCTGCGCAAGTAAAGTGCTGACCGCGTATTGCGCACCAATTATAATTCCGAAAGATGTCGAAAGTAAAAGGAATGGCAAACTCGTCAAATATATTTTCATGGTAGATAACAAGGTTGTCTTGATTTGATGCGCACGCCTCTCTATGGTAATGCTAGTAGAATCAGTGTCAAAACTAGAATTGCGAGTTAATTAATTAAATGTGACTTAAAAAACTGGTATTTGCCTGTTACTATTAGTCGGAAAAGATTCAAACGTGAATACCAAAAACGCGTAGATTAAAGTGCATACACCGAATTGTAATAACATGTATTCGGGTATGTCCGATTTTGCAGTCTCCTTCTTAATCATGTACGGCGATAATATAAATCTTCACGTAAGAAATAAAAGACGGATTCAAAATTACGAATTAAAAAAATAAAACCATTCAACAAAATCATACCTCACTTGGTATATAGTGTTTTTGATTTTAGATTTTATCTTACCCAGCAGCAATGCCGGCATTATTTGCCATGACACCCACAGCAATTGCTATATTCTGTTCTCCAATTTGAAACCAAAGATTGGCCAATTTCGGAGGGACACCAATGATAAATACATTTGCAGCGGCTGCGAATGCCTGACCCATAAACAAACACCAAAATCCCGAGGGCCCAAATGCACCGAGAAACCGTAGTAATGCACCGAATGCATTTAAGAAAGCTCCCAAGAGTACCCCGTTTCGTAACCCGTAAATATCAAAAATCTTTATAGACGGAAGTAAAAGAAATGGGTATATAAACATGTAGACGGTCGAGAGTGAATTAATATATGAGGGAGTTGTGTGTCTGTAATGTGACATGAACACAAAAAGACAGGGAGCAAATGTGATCCATAGACAGGCAGACGAAAACGAAAGAAGGGAGAAACCAAATAGTATTTTCCAACGGAGCGAAGAAACAGCATAACTACTTTTAATGCCTGGAGAGTTATGCGACAATAGAGGCGTATTAGAATTAACGTTCGAGCTATTTCTCTCGGGAGAAAATGCAAGAGAATACGAAAAGTCCTCCATAACGATAATACAATCAATACAGTCGTTAATGGAATATGATTAAATTTTCCATATCAGTACGTATCGTGAATTATGGAAACAGTGTTACTACATCACATGAATACGAATTTTTGATCTAGATGCGTGTATGAGTAACACGTTTCTCAACCTAAACTAAAAAGCTTTCAAACTTCTTTTATGGCAGACATGGAAACCTCCTCACCTTCCAATCTCAAATCAATTAATGCATCAGCCTCAAATGAAAAAATGGCTTCTAATAATTCTTCGTCCACTCTAATCTCATCTGATAAATTAAGTAAAAACACTAAAACTTTACGCCGAAATCGGCCCGGGACAAAATTCGAGGTATTTTTTTTAAATCACGCGTGCGTGTACCTTCGTCAAGATTATATATGGAATACACATCACACACATATGTGTGCGTGCGTGTTTAAGCTTTAAATGTAGATATAAAGAGGACAAACAGATTCTTTCATTGGTGAAACTTTTTCATTCATGTTCCTATTTTTATATGTAGAATGCTTACCAATATCCCCATATATCCCTAGAAGAATTAGACTCTGCTTTCGCATTACAAGAATACTTACAGTCGCTGATTCGAACAGATAAAGAGAATATTGATGCGCTTGTACAGCTTCCTTCCGGGCAAGATAGAGAATCCTGGCAGTACGAGCATTTGAGGTGGGTTGATTACTGATTTAGCCATGTTGATGTATGATCATAAAGTAATGGGGTTTTTTTATTTTGCTGTAACAGACAATTATGTCTAGAATTAACTTTTCTTGTAGTTCAGTTGTCGACTGAATGTACACGTGAGACATGCCCAGAGATGAAGGCTGATGAGTGGATGTATTTATGCGCGATGCATCAAGCACCGATAGGAGTATGTACAATTTATTATGATCTTCTGTCATGCTGCCGACCTCTGTTTAACTAATTTTCTGCATTATAAATTCATTCGCCGTATAGTGCTGTGCTATTGATTACATAGTCCATACATTGGATGCTGCAACAACTTTACTTAATAGTCATAGATATTTTCCTAGCAGGTAGTCGATGATGTGTGATTATTATAGTTTGGAATGTAATAATCAACATATATTACATTATTATCATTAGAATATCCATTCCTCCATCATCATTGAAACACTACCAACAAATCGCCAGACGACTCTACCGAATATTCGCGCACACGTATTTTCATCACCGAGAAATATTCGAGTCGTTTGAGGCAAGTGTGAAAGAAATACCTTTGTGTGTACCGTTGTGAATCCATATTTCATGCATTGAACCTTGAATTTATTTCCTTGCAGAATGAAACTTTTCTTTACGTTCGACTTCTTAGATTATCGATGGTTTATGGGCTGGTACCAAAGAATCTAATTATTATTCCTGGATATGAAAATATTGCCACTGTTACAATTAAGAATAGTAAAAATAAAAATAGTAACAATGAAAGTGATCATGATTCGGATCTTAATAATAATAATGATGATGGTGATGATTATGATGATAATTCTATTATTGAACCTTCAACATCACCGCCAACATGATCTATTTCCCGCTTCTCCTAATGTTTATCCACAATACCACCTCGATTATCATCAAACTCACTACCAGAAGCAACAACAACATACTATATATAGAGAGGCATGTACATACACAAAATCTTGTATTAACATCAACAACATAGGATTCATGAAAGAAATATAAAGAAATATCTATAATAATAAATAAGTAATATGACTATAAATAAGTGAAACAAATTTTTTATTTGTTACAAGGATTTATTCATGAACTTTCTTTTCTGAAAGCACATCCACCACTTGCTCGGTTTCCCGTCCAGATACACTCTGTCTACCAATCTTAAAGCTAATTCTTGTCGAAGTTGTGACAAATATTGACGAAGTAAATCTGGTATTTTATTCGATAAAAAAATAGATTAATGTTCCTGCATTTATTATATTCTAGTGGCACGTGTATATCTTTAAACTTAACAAATTCAACACAAACCAGCGTCCCCTCTATGAGCCGGTGCAGCATACAAAGCATTCAAAGGAAAATTAGGTTCCCCGGGAAGAGCAAAAGGATCTAACGCGCGAGTACTCAAAATTTTCACTGCTTCTTTTTGTGATGGACTTTTCGTCAGTCTGCCAAGACAATCCGAGATGAAAAGAATCAAGTATATGAGTACACGATCTGCATTCCCCTTTATTTCAAAATTACGAAAAAGACAATTTGCTCGAAATAGATCTAGCGATTCGTCAATGATATCCTTCTGATCTGCTGGAGCTGATTTAAACGCAAGACAATGGTCATTAATGGAAAATTAAAACAATAGATTCAGATATTTGGACAAGTAGTTCAACCAACTTTACCAAGTGTCCCAGGACCTCTTATTTTTGTTTTAATAGGTAACAGAACCATGTTACCCACAATTCGGTATTCAGTATTGTCATTGAATTGGGAGTGGTAAGCCTAAAGTGAAAATGCATAAAAATAATAATAGGAAAATTTTGCAAATAATCGCCAGACAAAATAAATTATCTTACCGGCATGTTAAGAAGTTTCAAGATGAATCAATTTCGTTAGACAATTTAGACAATCGATTGAACATAATGTGACTTTGCGTCTGCATGATTGTAGAGCACATGATATATTTCCTATAAACATGCAAATGATGATCGATTTTGAATAATAATTTTATAATGCCACGAGCTTCAGCACCAGCCAAATATAAATTAATGCTATTTGTGCTAAATTTGGCATAATTCTTTGCTTTTTTCTTCCAATATTTATTCAAATCTAATTTGTAGGATGACATATTATATCTACTACATGTTCTAGTTAAAGTATGAATATAAAGACATTGAATTGCTTCATTTAAAAGTAGAATGGGAAGTGCTCCGATTCGGGGGATCTTAAAAAAGTGATTCGAATATAAATCGAATATTTATAAGATTCGAATCAATCAAATTTATTCGATTTGACTGATTCGAATTGAATTAATTTAATTACAGTGACCCACACATTTATCCGTTCCAAATCAAGTGATTCTCGGCCCTCTAGATCAAATTCCCGAATAAATACCGATTCGAATTTTATACATGCTTACCAAATTTCTCAAAAAAGTTATTAAATAATGGATTTTGTAAAAAAGCATGTGTTTGATTTAAGTGTATTACTATTCATCCAAAATTTAAATTATGAATTACATTTTGTTTAACAAATAAAGATGAAAGTTGTAATTTTAATAAAAATATTTAATATTAAATGTCGATTAAATAGATTAAATTCTTCAAATTTAATCCATGTTTTTCTAATTAAATTAAAATATGCACTAAACAAAAATTCTAATATCAAGTAAAAATTATAATATCAAGTAAAAATTAAAGGAAAAAGTATATCTTTATAAAAAATATTATAATTAATTTAGTTTGATTTTATAACTAATAAAATATTAATTATATTGAAACCACAATTGTAAAGTTTATAAAATAGAAATCAATAAATTAAAGGAAAATTTGATAAGGAAAAATATTTCTATATTGTTGATAAACTTACAGATAATTGTATCTTTTATTATAATTTTTTATTATTTTATAATATTTCCAAAAAAATGGACAGTCTTTCTATTTTTCAAGTGGTGAATTTACAGTAACAAATGCTTTAACAAGATTAAAATTGACTTATTGTTTCCAAAAGAAATAAATATAATGGTTTTTGAATGATTATTATGATTTTCTATTGTAATTTACACGCAATACAAAAATTTAATGGATTAATTAATAATGGTAATGTATTTCACCATTATTTCACCCTCACGTGCCCACAAACCAATAAGAATGCGCAAATTTTCTATCAACCGGGAACGGGCAGTGTTGTCGCTTGGACGCAAATCCAGCAATTTGATTGGTCGAAATTGCTGTATTTACAACACTGGGCATACGGTGACTTTTTGTACTACGCTGAACACTCAACATTTCTTGGGCACACCAGGTTCTTCGTAATTTTTTTGTTCTACATGCTTTTAAAGCACTTCTATTACTGATTACGACCATTTCAAATTAATATCTTCATCGAAAAATGTCAAGTATTTATATTTCTTCAGATATAAATAACAATAAATTTTCTTGCGAATATAATTATACGTAGAAATTATTTAATACTTTGCAAACAATAACGATAAAACCAGAACATAATGATAAGAATTTTTAAGTATATCGCATACATAATAAGCCTTTTAAATACGCACAAAATTAAATTAGAGAGAATTCATTATTTGTAAAAATTACATGAGTTTCTTGATTCAAATTTAATTAAAGTTTATTTAAATGTTATTTCTAATGCTAATTCATAGATGAGAGTTTCTTTTTAAATATGGCATAAAGAATTGTTAAGAATATAATTAAAGTATTCAGTTCTTTTGTTTAAATAGAAGAGATTCTTTACTTGTGAAAATTACGTTCTCTTGATTCAAATTTAATTACGTAACGTTTATTTTAATGTTAATGATTGTTATTTCTAACGCTAATACATGTACATACATAGATGATAGTCTCTTTTCTTGCCAAATCTATAAATAAAAATACGCACCATAAAAATATCCGTTCATAAACCGGAAAGTACTTTACAAGGGTACTACATAGAGCGTTTTACGGTATATAGTAGAATATTTCCAATACCTTCCTTTTCCCCTTATATTTTTTTTGTCATATTTCATCTCAATTATACAAGAAATATGACAAAATATTCGGCAATAAACGACGAGGAACCGACGCTTCCAACTGCTGATAATTCTTTAGTAAACGGTTCTTTAGATCAAGCGCGGTTACTGTTGGATCAAGAGATTGAAGAAGACATTGGCGACCCTGTTGGAACTGCCAGTTACTTTTCCTGTGTGGTACGTGCACATCACACACACAATAATTACTAAAAATTAGAAAATCCAAATGTAATACGTGTGTTTCTGTATTTGGCTCGGAATATATATATATATATGCATGCCATCTATTCGACGGGATTCTCTAGTCACTTAATAAATATGGCTATTTGAAATTTTTAGATTAACCTTGCCAACACTGTACTTGGTACCGGCATGCTGGCTATGGTAATGTTTCATCAAAGATTATTATGATTTGATTCGTAAAAGTAAGCTTATCAAATTCTCATAAATAAACTTTCGAAAGCCGGGTGCTATAGCCTCGGTTGGTCTAATATTAGGTAGTTTCATGATTTTTTTCTCAGCTCTTGCTTCGGGATTAGGATTATATTTTTTGTCACGCGCAGCTGCACACACAGAAGGACGACAATCGTCTTTCTTTGCTGTCTCGAAATTGACTTATCCGACCGCGGCTATTTGGTTTGACTTAGCGATTGCGATTAAATGCTTTGGCGTTGGTGTTTCGTATCTTATTATAGTTGGTGATTTGATGCCACAAGTAATTCTAGCATCAGCTGGAGAGAAGCTTCTGATCGGGAGTATCTTTTTGGATCGTCGATTTTGGATAACTGTATTTATGATTATCGTTGTTCCGTTGGCCTTTTTGAAACGACTGGATTCGCTACGATACACGAGTTTAATAGCAATTTTTGCAGTTTTTTATCTCGTATTCATTGTAATCTATCATTATCTCGGACCCGATTTTGAAGCACCTCCCAAAGAAAAAGTTCATTTAGTGAAATTATCAAGAAAGTTTTTTACGAATCTACCAATATTTGTGTTTGCTTTCACTTGTCATCAAAATGTAATGTCAAATTTTTTTGAAATGTGGGTTTATTATTATTATCTTTTGCTCACCGGATTATTTTTTTGTATTAGATCTTTTCTATCTACAATGAACTCGTCGACAATAGTCAACGTAAGGTTTCTAGTGTGATAATTGGAGCAATCGGAACATCATCTATCATCTATCAATTAATTGGAATCATTGGATATTTAACCTTTGGAGATGATGTCTTACCGAACGTCATATCACAGTGTAAGAAAAAACAACCTTCGCCTACTTTTTTTCTTGTATTCCACAGAAATAACCAGTTTTCTAATTGCACAACTACCATGTTAATTAATATCGCCGCCAAATAGACAAGGCAAACACGATTGTAACAATCGGTCGAGTAGCCATCGTGATTCTTGTTTTATTCTCGTATCCTCTTCAAGCACATCCATGTCGTGTTTCTTTAGATAAAACAATTTTATCATTTTCTGCATTGCGTGAATCTAACAACGTCAGCACTGACAATTTGTTGAATGAGCAACGATATAAAGCTGCACTACCTTCAAATCAAAGGTATATTATAATCACAACAGCGATTTTGTTTTCGAGTTACCTGCTCGCGATGCTGGTCTCCAAATTAGACTTGGTAAGAAGGATAACAATAAGAATATTGCAATGGTATATTTTTTGGAAATTGCAAAGATTAAAAAATGCTTTTATTCTTCAAGGTTTTGGCATTTGTTGGATCCACCGGATCAACAACAATCTCATTTATCCTTCCCGGAATATTCTATTACAAAATCCACAAAGAAGACGCGTGGACAAAGAAAAAGGTTCTAGCGGTATGTTTAGCAACGTATGGATTCGCGGTGATGACGATTTGTTTGACGTTGAATATTCTACGCGTGTTAAATCGCAATAATTAATCGCTATAGCTTTATTATATAAATACAAACGATTTGCTGCTTAGATAGTTGCAATCTGTATTAAATATACCTTACCAGATAAAGTAAGGTAATCTTATAAATATGATTATAAGTAATATAGATAATAGATAATAGATATAGAATTACTATATTACCGATTAGTTACAAGTAATGTTGATTGACAAAAATAATGAAATCATTTTTGTTTCACATGTTTCATATTAATAAAATCTGATTGATATTATTGACATATGTATCAGAGTGTTAGTTTATTGCATTTCTGCGCAGTAATTTATTGTAATTAATTCTGCAAATTCTGCAAACTGAAAAATGTACAAGATCATTATGATGATCAAATTTAAAAAAATTTGATCACCTGATTTTTTTTGATAAATAAAAAATAAAATTTTTTGTAAATAATTAAAAAATGAAAAATTTATTAATAAAAATAATTTAAAATAACAAATTAAAGTATAAAAAATTTAACTTTGCAATAGATTCTTTAATAATTTATGTCTTTTATCATCTTAATCACTAAGACTTCTTTCAATATTAATTTCAGAAATAGGAAGCCAAATATAAATTAAAGATATTTGTACTAAATTAAGCAAAGTTCTTTGTTTTTCTTTTCAATATTTATCTAAATCTAAATTACTATTTTGTTCTTTATTTAATTCACAATAAATATTCCATTTCATTATAATATTATCTGCTGGATTTTTGAAATAAGAAATAATTTTATAAAAAATAATATTATATTTTCTAATAAAAATATAAATTAAAAAGAATCAAAGTATTGAATTATTTGAAATAATTTAAATATAAAATAAAATTAATATACTTATTAAATTTATCAAAAGAAAGTTAAAAAAACTAATTTTAAATCATCTATATCTAAATTTGAATTATCTAATTTAGAATTTATTTAATTATTAAAAAATGAATTATTAAAATTATTTTGTAAAAAAATATATATTTGATTTAAATGAGTAATTATTAAAGAAGTTAAAGATTTTTTTCTAAGTTTAAAAAATTTTAAATCAATTAATAATCTATAAAAAAATTAAATATTAATATACATCAGGAAATTTTTATATCCGATTATAATCGATTATTATCCAATAATCGATTATCATCGATTGTTAATAATCGATTATAATCGATTGCAATCAGATATAATCGATGATTATTAAAATCGAATATAACCGATTTTTTGTTTAGAATCGGTGAACATCTATAATC